CAGCTACGGACCATTAGTTACATATTTGAACCAATAAGGAAACACTTACCGGGCGCTGCTGTCACTCTCCCTCTCTCCCTCTCTCTCTGCCTCTCCCACACTCTGTCTTTCTCGTCTTCCCTCATTCTGTGCCGATGCCGAGCCTGTCTCAGCTCCACACACACACACACATATACTTTATATAAATTTAAAAATAAAAAGAATAGTCCTGATAATTTAAAAAAAGCCAAATAAAATTAAGGAGAGTTGCAGGAAGGGGACAGGAGGGAGAGCCTGGGAGAGGGGAGGGGTGGTGGCATCCGCAGCTCCCGATCTGAACTCCCACTCCCGCATTCCTCCTGCCCCTTGGGGGCCTGAGGGTCGGGTACAGAGAGGGAGAAATGCCTTCAACTCCTGCTTCTCCCCTCCCACCCCGCCCTCCTCAGGTGCCCCCAGCTTCCGGCAACTCCACCTGGGAGGGAAAAAAATTAAATGGGAGGGAAAAATAATTGTTAATCAGATTAATAATAAAAAAAATACTGATAATGAAGGGAGCGCCCAGCGCAGGTTTCCCTGGCAATGGTTAGGCTCTTACAGGGAGGACTGTTCTGCGGAGCGCTCGGAACGGACAAACCACAATAAAAAGTTCACGTTCATGGATGGAATCCACATGACTTCTTGTGGCCAATCCAACTTGTGAGTCGATCGTAAACTTTTATTACTCAGCTGTAAATTTTCTGCAAACAACCGGGAATGCGATGCATTTGTGTAGCGTGTGCAAATGGGCGCCGCGGTCGCCATGTTTACCCAATTCTCTCAGAAAGGGAGCATCTCCCGACCCCCATCCCACCCCCAACCCCCGCCCACTCCCCACGGGCCGGCTGCTCCAGGCAAGTGAGGAAAGGGGAGAGAGGGGATCCAGGGAAGAAGGAAGGAAGGATTTAGGCACTGGGGTTCAGCCGCCTCCTCTCACTGTACCGAATTTTAAATAGTTTTTCTTAATAAATGGAGATAATAAGATTGGGTCTAGGGGAATCAAAGCTTCGTAAAGATCTGTAGCATTGGGGCCATGAAATCTGGTAAGGTGCAGGGACTGAAAAGGAATACCCTCCCTATGCTTACTTTTTTACTTAGGAAGAGAACACATCTTCCCTACAGGGGTGCCCCCCCCCAGCAGACCCCCACTCCACCCCAGACAGAAACAGGAGTCTCAGGCTGTGGACAGCCTCTCAAGCAAGTCTGCCCTGGATGTGATTTAAAGAGCCAGGGCTGACCAGCCCTGGACAGTCCTTTGGAGGCAGCAGGGGGTGAGTATTTGGAGCAGCCTCAAGGACCCTCAAATGGACCACCTTCATCCCCAGATGGTCTCTTTTTCAAATAGAATAACATTGCTCCCCAAAACCATCAGGCCTCATTTCCTAGATTCTAATGGCAATTTATAATCTTTTCAGAATTAAAAGCAAAATTAAGGCCCCAAATCGTGGCTCCCACTTCCCTTTTCTTTGAGTTCCAAAGCAATTTGAAGCCTTTTCAACCTTGTCCAGTTGCCCACACCCACCTGCCTTTTTCAGAAAAATATCCTGGGTGGTGTCTGGACTAGAACCGGCTTGGAGGCCCTGTAAAAGGATCTCTTACTGCCCTGAGTTGTACCTTCTGCACTAAAATTCTGAGCGCCCCATTCTTCCAGACTCCTAATTTTGGTGCTGGGTCTACTGTGGGGAGTCTAGAAAAATTCCCTCACAGAGACTATTTTGCGAGTGGGCCGGCTAGATCCCTCCCCACTGGCTAGAGATCTGAAGGCCAGCAGCTCTCCCCTTGGTGCGGCATGGAACTGGCAAGGGAACCTCAGCCAAGGGGGGTATCCTTCATCTCCTCCCCAAACTTCCTCCACAGTAAGCAAAGCAGTTCCCTCAGCCGGATGCAGAGACCTCGTTTCTTTTACAAACCCACCCATAAATTTTATAACAGGTAGTTAAAAATTACGATGAGGAAGCGCTGGCCCAGCTTTTCACAATGGGTAACAGGGAGAATGGGAGAGCGCTGCGGGCAGCTCACCGGAAATTTTCTTTCTAGTCTGTGGTACAACCTGTCCTGAGTTCTCTCTAATTGGGGCTGGGGGTAACTTTCTAGCCGCCAGGCAGTGGCTGGGGCATCTCATTTGGGAAGATGGGACGCGGCAGGCTAACCCACCCTCCCATTCAAGGATTCCCCAAGGAGCCCTTCAGCTCCCCCCACCCCCGCCCTTTTCTCCAAGGCCTGCACCTCCCTTGGCCTCAGTGATGACGGATTTGGAAGGGAAAGAGAATGCCGAGTATTTTTTTTTAATCCAGAGAAACGAATTTGCCCCCCAACTTAATAGCTGCATTATCCTGTCTTTACCGTTGAGAATAGAATAATAAATTCAAAGCGAAATGAGCGATATGCTTCAACTCAGCATTTTGAAAGATACTATTTTTCACAAATCACAAATAGCTTTCGGAAGCCACTTTGATTGGCTAATAAAAAAGTAAAGAATGGGAGAAAGTCCTATCTGCAGCAGTCGAATGGTACCCATTCCGGTAATGGGACGGCGGGAGCATTTGGGAGGACGCGTTGCTAAAGAGAGCGCATCCCGCTCGCAATTATGTTCCCCCATAAAATGGGTTTTTAACCTCCTTTCTTTTCCAAACGAGAAAACGGAGTTGGTGGGCAGCGGGAGCAGGGGAGCGGGTGCTGCGTGAGGGGCTGGCTGGGGCTCCTTTGGTCTGACCCTTCAGTCGCCCGACATTTCCAGCAAAGCCGGGCGCCAGACGCACCCCGCCCTCCGACGCGTCGGGTTTGGGGCCACGGACATTGCGGAGCAGGGCCAGGGATGAATGGGCTATTTGGTGTAGGGGAAAAGCGGCGAGGCCTTCAGAGGCACTTAATGCAGTGTTCATGCCGCTTAGCTACCGGACCAGGTATTCTTTATTAATGGCAATCATAACTTCACATTTAAAAATGAAAGGCCTGCAGTCGTCCTTCGGAGTATAGAAGGGGACGTTTGTGGAAAGGCCTGAGGTCGGAGCGAAATGCGGTCTTTTCGGGACTCATTAGGCGGTAGCTGGTGTCTCCAAAGCAAACGGGGTTACCTGGCTGGCACCTCACAGCACTTCGAAGCAGCGACCCCAAGTTCGGATAGATTTCCCTGGAGCTCCAGCCCAAAGCTGTCCCCAGCTGCCCGAAGCCTGTGCTTCCAACCCACAACCTCTCTTAGACTGCAGAGTCCACTATGTACATCGCGTGACGAAATCCTGTACCACTTTTCGAAGAAGTCAGAGATGGGGACCCCGGTGAAATACACCAAACAATATTTGACCTGGGCTTAGTCTGGGAAATCAGAGGAGAGAGAAAGAGAGAGAGAGCGAGAGCGAGAGAGAGAGAGAGAGAGAGAGAGAGAGAGAGAGAGAGAATGAGAATGAGAATCTGGCCTCAAAGATATGTCAGTCTTTGGGGGTCTGGTTTTGAAGACCAGAAGATCTGCTCCCCTCCCCTTCCCCCCCCCCTTTCCTGGCTGAGTCAGAAGACTTGTATCTCTGGAATTTGGGCTTATTTGACCAGAATCTTAGTGGCATAAACATATTTCTCTGTCTAGGACCTTCCAGAGAGAAGTGAGGGACCTCTTTACCCCCTGGGTCCCTGAGACTTCAACTCTTTATTTTAGGGAATGAAGATGCCAATTGAGGACCCCCCCCATCCTGCTGTGGCTGGGGTGGGGTACTGTCTGCTCAGCAGGCCCATCTCCCTAGGCCAATGGCACTAACTATGGGGGCTGGGCTGGCTGCCCAATTGCCAAGGTGAAGCTAGCTGGGGGGCTGATTTGAAACAGCCAGGACAGAGGCTGGAGTGGACACAAGAGAGCTGACTGGCAGTGACAGCCCAGCTGCTGGCTGAATTTGAATTCCAGGATAAGGACCCAGGCTCTCTGGTCTACCAGCTCACCCATTTCCCCTTCCCCTCTGTTTCCCCAGGCTAAAGCTTCCTCAACCCCACACTTAAGTCTCTCCAATGTTTAGTCATCTTTCAGCCAAACCTCTTGACAAGTCAGCTGCATTAAGCTTCACATTTCCCCCCATCATCTTCGCTATTCCAGATGCTGGGTGTCAGGGCTGGTCACAAGGGACATGTGAAGATAAGAAAAAGCCCCACTGCTTCAGTCCCAATTCCTGGAAGAAAAAGACAAAATCCTGGAAGGGCCATGGGCAGATTCTTTGTCTGGGCCCAGCCCAGGGCTGAAGAAGAGGGTGAATGTATGAGCTCTTTCCCCACTGGGATCTTAGCACCTATAAACTCACTTTGTTTGGAGCCAAGATTCCCCCAGGAGCATAGTAGTCATACACCTTCTTCTTTCTACCAATGGACTAGTCCTCTTTTTCTTCCTGCTCTCAACCCCCCTTCCCTGTCACCTGCCCTCCCAGCCCAGCCTGCCCTCTCCACTCAGAGGCTTCTCCCACATGAGTTCCCTCACCCCAAAGCCAGATCTGTGGAGACCTTTTCCAGATTGTTGGGAAAGAGAAATAAAAAGGGAGGGGATAGAAAATGGGGGAGAGTTGTGGAGAAAAAGCAAGTCATTCCTGCTTCAAATTTTTTTTCTCTTTTTTTTATTATGACTCACGTATACAATACAAAGTACTTGGACCAGGAACAGGGCTGTCAGGACACAAAATCTACATTCATAGCTGGACATAAAGACAAATGACCAAAAATTATTATTATAGATATATTTTAACATTTTTTTCCTTTCGAGCACATTGCATAAACAGAGAATTCAAGACAGAGTTAACTATACATTCAGTGCAATTTAGTTCTACTCTACTGGGGTTAGAAGCACAATAAAAGCGCACAGGACCGGCGGGCTAGGCAGTCTCAGTTGTTGGGTTTTTCTTAGTGAAATAAGCAGCAACAAACGACAACAAAACGGCATTACGAATACTCTCAAAGCAGGATTTCTTTCTATAGGTAGTGATAAAATATGTTGGAGGTTTCTTTCTTTCTTTTTTTAAATTTTTATTTTTTTCTCTTTTTTTCTCCTAGAGTAGGAGTTTAATTTTTTCCTTTTTTTCTTTTTCAAGATTATTGCAGGTTCCCTTTAGGTAGTATGTTAAAGATTTATTATCAGTATTATTATTATTATGGTTATGGAAATTTCTGAGCACAAATACTATTGCAGCTCAGAGGAAGCCGGGCCCAAAAGAACAGAAATCAAACAGCAAAGGCAAGGAAGGCATGGGCCCGAGTGACATGGGATGACTAGGTAGGATTTTAGAGATGACTGCAGGCCCCTATTGACTCCTTGGGGTGGGAGGAGAGACCCACATCTCTTTCAGGTTTCCATCAGTTCCTAGAGAAAATCAAGGGGGTTCTCTAAGCACAGCCCCGGGGAGGGGGGCGGAATCTTCCTTGCTATCTTTTCCTTGTTTCTTTAAATTTTTTCCTTTCTTTTCCTTTTCTCCTTTCTTCATTTTTTCCTTCCTTTCATTTTCCAAAAAGTCAATCTAGTACAGTAATCCTAGCATAAAAGCAAAGCCAGGAGTCCTCTTCCATGTTTTGAGGGGCTCTCCTCTAAAATAAATACCAGAAAATCAGGAAAGTGGGAGTGCTGTAAGAAGGGGCAGAGAGAAGGGGTAAGCAGGCCAGGGCTCAGACCTTAAAGTCTAGGAAGAACTCAAGGGTTCTTCTTGTGTTGGGCATAGAGTGGAACTTTTTGCTGTGTCTCCCCCCCTCTAGTCCCCAAACAAATAAAGAGCGGGGAAGTCCAAAGGTAATAAAACCAGAGCTGCAAGTATCTGACAGGTAGTTAGAGTTGTGAGTGTCATTCTATTCTCTATAAAAGCAAATGACAGTCGTAAACTTCTCAATTTATCTGCTACCATAAAATGAAACTTCAAGGGAGTTGCTAAAAGGGGGGGCATTTTCTCTTTTTTGCTTAGTCCTTGTTTTCTTCCTTTTCCTCTTCTTCTTTCTCCTCTTCCTCATTTCCTTCTTCTTCCACCTTCTCTTCATCTCGGGCCCCAGGCAGTTTATCCTTGTTGTTCTCCTTTTTCCACTTCATCCTTCGGTTCTGGAACCAGATCTTCACTTGTCTCTCGGTCAGTCCCAGGGCATGAGAGACTTCAATCCGGCGTTTTCGTGTCAAATAAGGATTAAAGAGAAACTCCTTTTCTAGTTCCAAGGTCTGATACCGGCTGTAAGTTTGCCGTCCGCTGCGCCGCCCCGGAGCTGGACAGAACAGAACCCCAGTCTGGTTATGTCTTGGTGGGGGCATGATTCCCCCCTGGTACTCTGCCTGTACTGAAGTTGCCCCTCAGATCTGATCTCCCCAGTTCTCCTCCCTCCAGAGGATGAGGCAAGAGCAGAAGGCAGGCGAGGGCAGGAAAGTTTGGGGGATAGTTTTGGTTTGACTTCACCTTGGGAGGTGGGTAAAGGTGGGGGACACAGACTGTGGCTGTCTGAAACTAGGGACTTAAAGGAGCCAGGGGAGTTCTGCAGAATCCCCCAGGCCTGCAGGATCAGGAAACTGGCCCCTGCAGCTTTGTTTACAAGTGCACAGTGGCATTTAGTAAGCAGGGCTGGAGACAGAATCTGTTTCCAAAAGAAAGGAAAAGGCTGGGGATAAAGGAGAGGAGCTCTGTCCACTGCTCCCTTCTTGTCTCTCTTTGCCTAATGCTTTTCCAATAAGAAAAATAATTGATCTCCTGGAATGTATCATTGCTCTGCCTGATTGCTAACTGGAGACCAGCAAATAAATCATGGGCCATCCCTGCCGGAACTTGTCGCTTTATCGCTTCCCCCTGTACTTCGAAATTGGGCCATGAGGGGCCACCCTTGGAGGGGCTCATGACCTGAGCTGCTCTGCAGGTCTCAGGGAGACCCCACAAGCTCTTGATTGAAGGGGAGCCTGGCTAGAGTCCTCTGGACTTCAGAGACCCCTAATCTGTATGTCTCTTTCCTTTTGAGCACTCTTTTCTTCTTCTCAGGCTCCCTGTCTTCTCTCCAACTGGGGGAAGTACAGAAAAGTTGGGGGTAGTGGCCCTCAGGCTAGTTCTCTGAGAGGAGACAGTGGGGACCTTAGACAGTCAGAGATCTTGGGATCTCACCACCCAAGACAGCCTGGCCACTGTCTTGGGCTGCTGGCCCTCTGTCTTTGGAGAAACTGGTTATCAGCTTCAAAGACTGATAACCTCAGGACACTAAGGGTACCCTTCCTAGTCACCTTCCCAACTTTGACTTTAGGTATGGGGAGAGGGAGAGAGACAGCCAGACAGACAGAGATGGAGGAAATGATTTTTAAACCTTTGCACCCACACATCACCTTTCCCCCACCTTCATCCCAAACCCCCAAATGTCTCAGGCGCCCCCCGCCCCACCCCCAGCCGAGTCTTCCCAACCTCGAGAAACCCACCCAGGCACGGGGGTTGGGTGGGAGAGACCCCAAAGCCAGGAGGGAAAGCGAGGGCAGACAAAAAGGAGACGAGGGAGGGGGGGAAGACCCCGGAGCGCGGGAGACCAAGGGGGAAAGAGAAAAGGCTTCTCACCGTGGGGTCTCATCCATGGAAACATGAGGCTGGGAGACGAGTTTTGATTTAAGTGGCCTTGTCCTTCGCTACTGTTAGTGTTGGCGGAGGATTTACAGTCGGGATATTGCACCACGCTCGCCTCTTGCTGAGCCCCATAAAGGGACTGTCTGGGGAGCGCCTCGTAGCCATAGAATTTGGAGGCGTCTCCGTGGCAGCTAAGCGAGCACGGGTTCTGCTGGTAGCCCGAGTTGGAGATGCCGGAGGTGCCGTGGTGGAAGAAGTCTTGGACGTGGTGCGAGGCGTGCTGGAAGCCCGGCGCCGAGCCGCCGGGCCCGTACACCAGCGCATGGCTCCTGCCCACGCTCTGCGGGAACCGGCAGTCGTAATAGGCCGGTTCCAGGGACTCGCCGCCTTTGTATTTGGAGAACAGGGGGTTGACGAAGTAGGAGCTCATGCTGGGTACATGAAAACCCGCGGCCCCCTCCCCTCTGGCTCACGGCTCCCCCGCCCGGTACCCCCAAAACTCCCCTCCCCCCCCGGGACCGAACCCCAGGCCGGCTGGCTCCCCCGGACTGGGCTGGGCTGGTGGGCTGGGGGCTGGGCAGGTGGGGGGCGCCTCGGTGCCTGCCGAGCTGCCGGGTCTGGGGCGCGGGCGGCGGCGGCGGCGGCGGGCGGCGAGCGGGCGGCGGCGGCTCTCTTCACTGTCGGTAGGTAGAGCTCGCGCTCTCTCACTTAGCTCTTTCCTTTAACAGCCCAGGCGAATTCCTCAGACTCCCGGCGGTGGCGGCGCTTACACGCGATTCGCGTTCATCAATCCACGACATGAAGACAGGCGAGAGAGAGAGGAGAGAGAGGAGAGAGAGAGAGAGAGAGAGAGAGAGAGATGGCGGGGGTTGAGGGGTTCAGGGCTGGGGGGACCTGGAGGAAGGGGAGGGAGGAGAGGGGGAGGGATGGGGGGTGTGGTGTGTGTAGGGGGTGGCAAGTCAGCCCCAGCTAATGGCCAAGGCCGGCTTTTCCAAGATACGCATTCAAATTTGAAGGTGTTCCCCCCCCTTCCTCTCAGAGAGAGAGAGAGAGAGAGAGAGAGAGAGAGAGATACCTGAGCCAGCAGGTCAACTCAGGTTATCTCAACAGGTATAAGACCCCTTGAGGGGGGTTGAATGTCAGCAAGCTAGAGCAGAGCCCCTAACCCAAAAGATAGGGTCTCTAGGAGGGTCCTTAAGTCTAGGGACTTTGAGGAGGAACAAGTACATCATGAGTCCCACGTACTTCAGGAATCAGACCCTCCAGCCTCTGGCCCCTCCCCAGGTTATGAAGCTGCCTTTAAGACTCTCTCTCTCTCTCTCTCTCTCTCTCTCTCTCTCTCTCTGACTTTTCTCTGCCCATAGCAATGGGTAGAGAAGAGAGCTGGAGGGGCGGGAGGCACTACATGTACCCCATCAGGGCCATATTATCCCTTCATTCAACAGCCCCCCTACAAGGAGCAGGAAACCCAGGCAATGGCCACAAACTTAGCTGGGGGTCTGAGATTAAAGCTGTTTATGGGGTTAAGAAGGAAGGACAGCAGTGTCTCCCTGGCTTCTGACTTGGCTAATGTAGGGTGCTTCTTCTTAGGAGATTATTTGCATCTGGGTTTGAGGGCCCTGGAGCAGGCCTCTTACTTTTCCCCACATACCACCACCCTATAGGAAATGCCAGGTTGGCCTGGAGAGGCCCCCTGGCTTCTCTGCAGCCCCCTCTTCCCTAGGCAAGCTGCACAGGCTAGGATGTGGAATAGGGACTATCAAAAGACACTCTTTAAATATTTACCACACTTTCTCTGGAGGGTTCTCCCCATCCCCAAGACTGAATAAATTCAAGTTAATTCTAATGGATAAAAGAACCTTAGTTCATCAGCAACCTTCCCTGGCCACAGTGTGTACAGTTTGGGCTTAACAGAGAAAAAGGGAGAAAGTGAGAGAGCCATGAATGTGTGTGCATATGAATGAAGATGAACAAGAATAATTATTTTTCTGTCCCTTTCCTTCCACAGTGTTTGAGGTTGTTACACAGTGTGTGAGGTTGTTACCCTGGGGCACACTCAGGATTCACACACATTGTATGTGCTACCTTCTCACCCTGAGACACGTCAAGTGCATGTTCACTCTAAACTAGCATACACATTCCTGGAATCATCCTGTCACTTTGCAGATTCAGTGCACACAAGTGCACACCAGGCACATATGCACATAATGCCTGACAAACACAGATGCATATTTAGGTCTTTGCATCACAAAAGGAAATTACCTGTTTTCCTTCCACATCCTGGGGTTTCTGGGTTGGATGAGGGAGGAGGTGGTTAGAAAACCAGATCTTTTCCTCTGCATCCCCATCGGAGCCCAGCTCTGGGGATGGAGGAAGGAACAGCAGTGCAGGGTAGGATGGTATAGATGGAATGAGCCCGCTCTGCTCCCTTATCCGTCTATTATCTGAATAATTGCTGGGATAATCATTCTCAGCCAAATTCCCAAAGAATACTCACGGGCATCCTAGCAAAAGACCCTGCCAGGATCCCTTGCATTTAGGGGTCTCACCCCCATCTGAGTTAGGGACTGCCCAAACTCTCAGACACCTAGAACTCTGGCCCTGGAGTAGCAGGAGGAAAGGGTCAGAGGAGAGCTGTGCCAGGGCTGCAGGCCCCGTAGGTTCCAGAACAGTGGGGGACCTGGAAGGGCATCTCCAACCACTACCAGAGCCTGCTGCATCCTTGGCTCCAGCCCTGTTGTTTCTGAGCCTGCTCTTCTGGTGTGGAGCTGAACAGGGTGGATGGACTCTGGGCTCCCATCATCTGGGTCACTGGGGACTGTCATAAATACTTTCTCTTCTCTGCATGGAAAGAAGAGGCTCTGAGGGCCGGATTCGCTCTGGGGCCTGCGCCTTATCTTTTAGGGGGTGGGGGGATATTTCGACATTTTATGGTCCAGCGAAAACCCTGCCACAGAGCTATTCTTCTGGGCCTTTGTGTCTTGGAATGCGACTGTCCCGAGTGTGCCGCCACCACCGCCTGTCCAGAGAACCCACCAGTCCGGCAACCCCTGGCTCGACTTGCTTTTCCCTTTGGGGGTATCTTTTGACTTTCATTTCATTGTTTCTTTTTTTTTTTTTTTCAAGTATATGGTTTATTTTGCTCCCTGAGCCTGGAAATAAAGGAACTGCAAGCAGCCATCCTCGCCGAGGCCGTCTCTGTCCCATTCCCTGAGGCCTGCACCGCCCTCTTAGGTACCACGGATTTATGTTCGTTTGTTCGGGTCATTCCGCCTTTTTGTGTTAATTACGCTGTGCCTGCTTCGCACTTATCTCCTCCGCAAAGCGATTATTTTTGATGCCTGCCCTCCTTCGCCTCACGAGCCCGCTGCCAGCGTGAGGGCCCATCTCCCGCTGCCACTCGCGAATTATTTACACCTCGAAGGTGAGAGGATTGATTTGCTCAGAGTCAGTGGGGCCCGGCCGGGCAGAGGCGCGGGGCCTTCGCGCCGAGCTTGGGGTCCGGCCTCAAATGTCAGTGTGGCCAGGCCGGCCGAGGGTATCCCTGCCTCTAACATTGAGCAACAGCGCCACCTCGCGTCCACTTGCTCCAATGCAGTACGGCCGGGAAAAAGCCAGCCGAGGTCCCAGGCTTGGCCCAAAGGTGGGAAGTGGGAGGAAGGAGTCCCTAAATGGGTGCAAAGGAGAGGGATTCTTTGGCAGGTTGTTGCCCTGAGACCAGTTTTCTACGTTCTTGAAATAAACCGTGTGAAAGGTTCTATACTGTTGTTTTTGTTATCCTCCCCTTTGCATTAAGAGACATTGTGCAAAAGAACGCAATCCCCTCCACCCTCTTCAGGCGCTTTTCTGGCCTCAGAACATCTCCGCGCACGCGGATGAGCGAACCAACCAAAGCTCCCACCACCGCCTACCCTAAACTACTCGTTCCTCTTACCCTGATGCTGGCCCCGCACCGCCTATTCCGCCGCCGCCTGCAGGACTTTGGGGTGGGTCTCTGACTTCTCTGGGCTGTTTGCCCCTTGGTTTGTAGCCCATCCCTCGCGCGCGCGCACTCTCCACCTCTCCCTCCCAACCAGTGAGGTCCTGTGCTCCGTGGGCCATAGACAAAACATTCCTATAATCCGATTTCAAAGGAAAGAGTGTCCACCTTATTTAAACCATAAAACAATTAAGCCCAGACGTCTAGCCAGCTCCGCGCTGCTGTTTTGTTCGGCCCCATTCAGAACCCAGAGCAGAGAGACAAACAGGGTCATAAAAGTGGCATTTCGGTTCTGCGGAAATGTACCTATCCGCTGCCTTCCCAAGTGGAACAACCTTTAGGGTTTTGTGATTCTGACAAAGGAGCAGAGGAGAGGTGGGAGGGGAAGATTAGGGGAGGAGGGCGTTTGCTAACCCTTCTTTCCGCCTGCTTTCATTTCTTTCCCAAGATGTGTGTCGTGTTATTTTAATTCATAAGTGATAATGAATAAAATCGAATCCAATCTTGACCTGCAGGCTGGAGGCTGGGATTGAACAGTGGACAGGGAAGGTGGGCCTGCTCTGAATCCCACGCCCTTGTCAGGGTCTCCAAGCCCTGCAGCCCTCCTTCCTGCCCGGAGCAAGGCGGGCTCGGGCGGGCGGGCGGGCTGCAGGAAGCAGGCCGCGCTGACCGACGCCGAGGGGAGGTGACAGAGCCTTGGAGCAGAGGAAACGGGGCTTGGAGGCCCGGAAACACCACCGAGCTCGGGCTGGGAGAGGAGCCCGCATCCTAGCGGTCCACACGAGGGAGAGAGAGTTGTCTTGGATTCTATCAAGTGCAGAACTGGGGCCAGGGTTACAGAACAGCAAAAGGGCCAAAGGGAAGAACGAGGAAGTGAAAAAGGAGAAAACCATAGGCAAAGCACCTTTCCCAAGGACCAAGAAAACAATGCTCTGGAATTAGGTATGAGGTCTCCTAAGCAAGCAGGAAAGAGAGAATGTCTCAGCAACAGCTAAGTCCCTTGTTGCGACTTGATTGCTCTCCCCAATATTATCTAAACAAAATGTTCACCCTCCCCATCTTCCTCCAGTACCCCAAATTGAAGCGTTTAATGGAAGGAGAGGGCAAAAGATTCAAGTTAATGAGTAAGAGATTGGTCTCTACAAATGTTTCACCAATCCTGTAAGGTGTCTCTTTGGGGGTAACACCAAATGGGATGGATCCCTATTACTTTCTTTTACTGTGGTGTCCTCCAACTATTCAGAATGACACTCTGCACCCTAGGCAGAATGGGCAGCCTGAGATATTAAAGGGCTATATTTCAGGCAGTCTGATTTTAATAGTTTCCAGATTGGGGGATTTCCTAGAAAAGGGGCGCCCGGCCGAGGCATACCCAGCAGCTAGTGTCTGCTTCTGATTAGCAGATGAAAACTGCTGGTTCTAGGGAAGGAGCTCTGGGGTGCAGCGCAGCCAACCAGCCTCACAAGGCTGTTACACACACGTCCCTACACCTTTGTGTTTGGGGTATGACAGCCACAAGGGAGCACCCCATTCCTGGCTAATCCCTAACCAGCATCCTTGGATTCTGACTTCCCCATCTCCTAGGGGTGCTACAGCTACTCAGCATGACCCTAGTCACCCCCACCCCAACATTCAAACTAAACACCAGAGAGACAGAGATTGAGAAAAAAGAAAAGTAGGAAAGAGAAGAGCTGAGATGCATTGAGAAGTAGAAACTTAATTCTAACTATATTGGCTTTGACATCTTTCTCCTTCCTTCCTTCCTTCCTTTCTCCTTCCATTTCCTCCTCCCTTTCCTCTCTCGTTCTGTCTCTCACCCCTCAAATCCTTAGTGTGCCTGGCTCACTCCCTGAGGCCTGCATGGCCTTCCTCCTAGCCAAAC